TTCAGCGTCAGCAGTTCTTCAGTGTGCTCTGTTCATTGTCCAACTTTTCAGGTGCATAGAAAGCAATTGAAATGCCAAGGTTTGGATCAGGCACATCTTAGTCTTTAAATTGACATCTTTGCTCTTTAGAACTTTGGAGAGGCCCTCGACAGGAGGAAGTCAAGCAAAAGCGAAAGCCCATTTCATTTGTCCCCGTCACATCTACTTCCTAGGCAGGGCTCCGAGTCGGACACAGCTCCGCCAGGTCTCTTCTGTGTCTGTGGGAGAGGAGATGAGGTCTTGACTCCTGTGTTTGTGTCCATCCAGTCAACCCTTAGCAAACCTGCAGGTCCGAGGACAGCTGGCACATAAGGTCTCTAAGAGAGTGCTGTCTGCAAGGTCACGTACGGCCTTCCAATTCACACAGCCTTGGTTCTCTCAGTGTTCCACTTTTCAGGATACAAGTCTTTGACTTCTTTGGTTACATTTATTCTTTGATTTTATTTAGGTATTTTATTATAATATTTTAGGTGTCGGCTTGTTGTGTTGATTTTGCTTAAAACACTTTTAGTAAGTGGTGGTTAGTGTTATCCTTCTCCAACATCAGTTTTGGGAGAATTTACACATCTTTTATTTTTTTAGATGCTGATTCTGTCATATTCTAACATTTGTTCTTACCTATTCTCTGTGACTTAAATGTTTGAGAAAACATATGCGCAGTGACAGATTTGTCATTCAAGTTAGGATGGAGATTCTCCCCAAGAGAAGATAGGGTAGTGTTCGGCTGGTGGCCGCCTTACCCAGCCGTGGCAGGGGCTCAGTCGGCTGTCAGGAGATGTTTGTGAAACTGATTTTTCACTATCATCTTTGGTTTCTCTTGAAATCATCTCTTTCCTTAGTTTCTAGAATATTCTCCCTTACATACCTATTGCCAGCAAGCTGGTTCTGACTCAAAGCAACACGTACGGCAGAGGGGAAAGACTGTCTTTATCTTGGGGTTGCTACTCTTAATCCATATGAATTCCGAATGAAAGCACCTCTATCTCTGGAAAAGATGTCATTGTGAAATACAGCATACAAGCCAGCCCGAACCCTGTTCTGTTTTGGTAAAGACTTAAGAGTCTAAATGGGTGACTATGTTACTGATACAAAGTTAATAAGATATTATCATCACTATCTGAGAGAAACTGAGTGTTCTCCGTGTCTCAGAATGTGAGTCTGTGTCCTGTCGTGGCAGCCCCTGCTGGCCACAGCCCGCCCAGCCTGGTGACTGTGGTGAGTTTTCTATTTGTTAACCCCTTCCTACACCTCAGTTTACTCCAGAACTGTGTGGTCTTTTGGTTTTCTTTGTTTTTTGTTTGTTTTTTTTTTTAATTTTTGTGTGAGTGTACCGTCAAATCAGATCTGACTGGTACAGGAGGAGATTGTCCCTCCTTTTCCCGGCAGAGCATCTGGTGGATTCGAACCGTGTGCCTCTGGGATTGTAGTTGCAGCTCCTTGCCACTAGGCCACCAGAGCTCCCCTGGTTTTCTTTGTTTTGATCATCTTGAAAAGGGAATCAAGGAGTTTGTAGCTGACTGGTTTTTTTTTTCCTCAGTAGCATTTCTTAGCCGTATAAAATGAATCATTTCCAATGCCCCATAAAGTTTCATTTTAAAAACCTGCCACAATGTTTGTGTCTGTTGAAGTTGCTACATGAATAGATGTGCGTTCAAAAGTTCTTGTATGCCATTAGATGCCACCAAGTTGGCTATGATTCAAGAATGACCCTGTGGAGAACAGATGAGCCCCCTGCCTGTCCTGCACCGTCCTCACCGTCTTGGCCACACTCAGGGCTGCTGTTGCAGGCAGTGTCAGTCTGTCTTCCTCTTTCTGGCTGACCCTCAGCCTTTCCCAGTCTGAGGTCTGTTTCCAGTGGCTGACCCATCCTAACGGTATCTCTGCACAGTCTGCTCTCCTCACCTCTCACGTCCTCCGAGACAGACAGGTGGTTGTTCTGCTGGCCCATGGTGTGCTCTGTACTCTTCGTCCCCATCCAGTGAACTGGACTTCATCAGCCGCCTTTCTTCTTTACTCACCGGACAGCTCTCACACGCACACGATGCAGCTGAGAGCCCTCCGGCACGCCTCACACTTGTCTGCCAGCGGCTTGGCTGATCACGGCAGGTTACGTTGCGGTGGTCACATCACTCTGTCTCTTCCTGTCTTATTAGTGAATTATAGCGCATGATGTAATGACATTGTACTTAGAATATTGAGCTAGCCAAGTCGCCTCATTTCTGTGGACACAGTCCAGTCGGCGCCAGCTCCTCGGCCCCGTTACCGGTTACTGATCCTCCTTGTTTCCACACGTTGAATTCTAACCACCAGCACGTAATCGGGAACCATCAGTGCACCTTGATTACTTGTTTGATTGGTTTAAATTCAGACGTTGGTACAGACCTTGAGTTGTGATTTGGTACTGGTGGTTAATAGGTCAGTTGGAGTGATGGTGATTAAACTGTCTTTCTTGTAGGATATGGCCCTTATCTCCCCTCTACAGTGTCATCCTTCAGGATAGATCTCGAAACGTTCTTTGTAACAATGAATGGGGTGCCACTCTTCAGTTTGTCACGCCTGTCACAGTAGGTCTTGTAGTATCTCTGTCAGCATAGCAAACAGCGGTCCGTTTCTGCTCATTTTTCCCCAAGCTCTGGATCTTTCTGTATTCGTTTTATCTCTGACGGGTTTCTGTTTCCTTAGACCCCAGCTACTTGGTGCCCAGTGGAGTCACTCCTGGAGGTTTGCAGCTGCTCTTCTCATTTCAGGGCATCAGCAAAGAAGGGCCCTGGAAGCTCCGCTCCACGTGGCACTGGGTTGGCCTTTGTGTAGACAGGTCTCCCATCTGCAGCTCTTTAGCTGCTGCCGCAAAGGTTGATACGGGCCAGTGTTCTAAGTCCATCTCCTGCCTGGTTCCTTCTGGCCTGGATTCTCAGACGAAAGCTGTTTGTCATTGATGACCCTCATGGCGTGGGAAATACCAGTGGCAGAGCTTCCAGATGCATGATGACAGCCAGGTCCCCACAGCACAGCAGACAGACAAATGCTTGTCCCAGTCTCCGTGGATTCCGTGGGCCATTATAGAGAACAAGTACACAGGCAGCCCGCAGCATGGCAGACAGACAGACAAATGCTTGTCCCAGTCTCCGTGGATTCCGTGGGCCATTATAGAGAACAAGTACACAGGCAGCCCGCAGCATGGCAGACAGACAGACAAATGCTTGTCCCAGTCTCCGTGGATTCCGTGGGCCCTTATAGAGAACTAACAAGTGCACAGTAAGATTGGGCTGTGCTCTGAGGAGCTGCTTCTGGAGGGCTGCGCAGGTGTCCAGTGGACAGATCCTGTCTCGTGAACAGCCTGCTCTCTGTGGCTGCTGGACGGAGATGATGCACACGCTGTCGTGGGTGGTCACCCCGCCTGAGAGGGTCACTGAACCTGCCAGACACTAGAGAAAGGTCCTGGCAGGTCTGTGGGCAAGTGCTGCCCCCGCTGACCTGGGCCAGGGCAGAGAGTGAGGTCTGACCGTGCTCTGGGCAGCTGTGGGCAGAGCGGAAGTGCCACAGAGTGGCTGTGCTGTGGGAAGGGGCTGGTTCTCTCACTTGAAGTTACTGATGAAGGTAGTTTTTCAGGCCACCTACCCTTAACTAGCCCAAATCCTGGGCCCGTTTACAGACTGTCATTGGCCAACTCAGTGCCAGAGGTCTGTATGTCGAGAGCAGACCGCACTCACGCAGCATGCTACCCTCTGACGCTGTACCAGCTGCTCTTCCAGGTGCAGGGTGCTGGGACCTACAGGGCATGGACCAGTAACTTAAAATGTAGAGTAGGTTGGGTTGTTGCTGTGCCCCATTGCGGCAGAACCAGCCCAGCCGACCCTCTGGCCGGTGTTCAAAGGCAGTAATCCACGGGAGGAGATTGCCCATCCTTCTCCCACGGAACAGCTGTTGGATTTGAACCATGTGCCTTTGGAATTCTTACCACTAGGTCCCCAGAGGGCTCTAGATTGGATTAGGGGACACATTTCTCTAATAAATATACCAGGTTATGGAGGGGGATTTAAAAAAAAAAAGTTTATATTGATTTATGAAACAAGCTTGTGAAAATGTCTTTAACTTCCTGAAGCACTAAAAGACCTCAATTTTAAATATAGGATGAAGTAGATGAACACTTTAGAATGCTGCTGTTGCTTGACTTTCAGCCAAACAAAAGGACAAACCTATAAAGTAATTAAGAAGCCTCAGTGGCATAGTGCATAATGCACTAGCCTGTTAACCAAAAGGTTGGTGGTTCATACCCAACAGCTGCTCTGCAGGGAAGGTCAGGTCATCTCCTCCCATAAAAGTTTACAGTCTAGGAAACCCGGGAGAAGGTCGCCATGAACCAGCACTGCTGATTCAGAAGCAACGAGTTTAGCTTTGGGGTTTTTGTTTTGGGGTTTTGGTGGTGTTTGGATTTTGCTCGTTTGTTGGCAGGTAAGAACAGGAAGGAATGTACTAGTTAGAACTGTCAGTGATACAAGATCAAAAGGGAAGCATTTGCCCAGACCTTATGGAGGAGAAATGAATGGAAAATGAGATACTGGGAGGAAATGGGGAGAGTGCTGTCACCTTGTGGGGATCACAGTCAGTGTCAGAGACCACAGTGTGTGTGACATTGTGGGGGTCAATCAGTGTCAGAGACTGTAACGTGTACTTACTATTGAATGGAAAGTCAGTTTGCTCTAAATTTTTGCATAAGCCCCAATTTAGAGTTTTTAACAGTTTTATGGAAAGCATAGCATGATGATTGCTAATGTTGCACAAATGTTATAAAATCCTTTGTTTCTTTTATGTTTTAGAGAAAGAAATTTTATGAGAATTGGACACAGGCTCAGAAATGCCAAACGTAGGGGAAACAGAATAAGAAGCAAAGCACAGACCTGGAATAGTGACCTGACAGAGAAGAGCACATGTGAGCCCGTAAGCTGTCCTCCTCCCAGCAGCCAGGAAGGCAGCCAGGAAGCCCCTGAGTGTGAGGAGAAGGAGGTGGAGCCGAGCCGAGAGGAGCTTCAGCGTGCCCGCACTCAGCGTGCCTCCGCTGGTGGGCCGGGAGAGGACCCAGGGAGTTTCGGGAGTGGCTCTGAAGAACGTTTTCCAGGCATGCCTTCTGTGGTTGAATTGCACAGCCTGTCAAGGGATTACCCCTCCCCTGAAGGTGGTGATCCTTCAGTTCTAAGTTTGTCATCCACTCCAGGTAGAAGCTCTGCTGCTTGTCAAACAGGAATTGAAAACATTTCTTGCTCACACACAGGTGACCCTGCAGGGCCACAGGGGGGACAGCGCACTGGAAACGGGAGTGCCCTGGCCGCTGCTGATCACAACCCGTTTGTTCAAGCTCCACATCCATCGATGCAGAAGAGAGAGATCAGACGGACACGATTCCTCGGCCAGCAGCGCAGATCTAAGACCTCCCCTCGAGTTTCCATTGAGGAAGAAGTGGACACTGCCCAAACCAGGAATTGGGCTTTCTCCTCAACGAGCGGATCTGACCACTGGCTGCCGGTGGGCCCTGTGGAGCAGTGCTGGCCTGAGGAGTCCCCACCTCCGGCTCGTGAGCAGAGGCTGAAAAAGGATAGGTGTCAGGAACAGGCTCTCCCAAATGGTACAGGGGCCCTGGTGAAGTGGAGCCCCACGTCTGAGGGAGACCTGAGCCCAGGAAGCAACCCAGAACTGTCGAGGGAGGAGAGGCCGCCAGAAGATGAGTGTGTGCCTTCCACCGAGGATCTGGATGTGTTAATACAAACAAGTATTTTCAGAAGCCACCTGCCTGGACTTGTTGGCCCAAGGAGTGGCTTAATGTCCACGAGGAGAAAGCGACAGATGAGGACTTTAAGTTTGGCACCAAACTTTGACTTATGGGGTCACATCAGAGAACGCGGGAGAGGGGTCCTTGTGGTGGAAAGCAGTGGACTCAGCATGATTTTTGCAGCAGAAAAAACCAATCCTGGAAAAGAGAAGAAAGAGAAACTTATAGCCTTTGGTCACCATCCATTCCGGCTTTATTTTGATAGCCTCAAAATTTCCCCTCGCAACATGGGGAGCCAGTTCTATTCTCGCTGCCTGTTCATCAACAGGTGGAGGTATTCCCTGCATCTCTACAGAGACCCTGTTCTGCCCCTTGAGCTCCCCGGTCCACCTACCTCTGGGGAGATCGCCTGTGTGAGCCTGAAACCAGGCGTCTCCTCCACAGCTCAGACAAGTGAAGACAATGAACAAGATGTTGGGGAGTTGATTTATCCAGAAACTTCAAGTCAGCAACCCAAGGCTTTGTTCCCTTGTGAAGTTTCTGATGTAAATTACGAAGGCTCTGGTGAGAAGTTGGGGAGACAAGAAGTACCCATGTCCTGCCAGTGTGTTTACATGGAAGAGAACCAGTCTTCAGCATGTCCTCACGCTCAGATAGAAGAGAACCAGCCTTCAGCATATCTTCACAGTCAGATAGAAGAGAACAAACCTTCAGCTCAGACTGATGAGAACCAAGTTTTATCAGCAAGTCCTCAGGTTCATTCAGAGAAGAATCGACCTTTAGCACGTCCTCATGTTCATTTGAAGGAGAATCAGCCATTAGAAAGTCCTCTCGTTCAGACTGAAGAGAGCCAAGCTTTAGCACACCTTCACTTTCAGATAGAAGAGAAACAACCTTCAGCACATCTTCATGCTCATTTGGAAGAGAACCAGCCTTCAGCACGTCACCCCGTTCAGTCACAGGAGAACCAGCCTTCAGAAGGTGCCCGGGTTAACACCTCCATGCTGTCACTGTCCCAGAAGTTTGCCTCTCAACTCATAATGCTCTTTGGACCTCTTGGAGCCCCAGCAGGTACTTGCTTTTTACGTGGTAAGAATCAGTCAGGTGGAGGGTGCCTGCAGAAGTCTGCAGTGTTGAGCATCAGCAAGCCTTCCGTGCATTCCTGACAGGTGGGGTGGGTGCCCTAGGTAGTGTGGGCCTGTTCTCCTCACAGGCTTGTCTCCTGTTTGGCTGAACATTGAACTCCAAGGATGGCTTCAGGTCCAGGTGAAGGGTAACTGACGGCTGTAGACTTGGGGATTCCACAGCCTTGGTGGACCCAGGAGCCTGGTCATTTTCTTCTGGAAGCCCATTCAAAGGACACAGAAGTCATTGAGCAAATCGCTGACCTTCTGAGTACAAAGATTGGCCTAACCCAAGCCAAGTTACTTTACCCCGGCAAATGGAAGTTACAGCTCCCGAGTCCTGTAAGAGTGAAGTTAGTGGTGGGATTTTGGTTTTGTCTGGATGGCATCATCACAGAAGGCGTGTGGTAGTGGTGGATGCCCTTCAGGGTGTTCTGACTCCTACCATCCCATCTATAGCAGAATAACCTGCCCGGTCCTGCCCACTTCCGGCCACTGCTGTGCTCCAACCCAGGCTGCAGTCTGCCAGGTCCTGCCCACCTCCGGCCACTGCTGTGTTCCAGCCTGGGTTGCAGCCTGCCTAGTCCTGGCCACCACCATCCACTGTGTGCTCGAACCCAGGCTGCAGCCTGCTTGGTTCAGCCCAGGCTGCAGCCTGCTTGGTCCTGCCCACGTCCAGCCACCCCTGTGGTTCAGGCCATCTCTTGAGAGTCTCCCTGTTCGTTTTTGACCCTCCATGATGGCACGTGGCACTCGGGATGAACTGTGTTGTGTGCCTTTTGTTTCAGCCTCTCTGACGCCGCCAGACTGCATGGTCCCCCTGGATTTGAACACGATGAAGCTCCTCTATCTCCAGTGGAAAACATCGGTGGAGGTGCGTTACAGGCTCACCTCCTGAGGCTTCCATACAGGAAATCATGCAGAAAATCTCACCAACTCCGGCGAGCCAGCCCTCGCCCTCTGCGGGTTTAGAGCCAGAGTGTTAGTGCTGGTGGGCGATACGTGCACGGCTGTTGTCATGTAGTCCCAGAGAGACAGTGTTAGGGCAGAGCTGCCTGTCAGAGGAGGAGATGCACAGCGTGTTTATAAGGGTGAGAAACTGGGTGAAACTGTTGGAGAAGGAAACAGACAGGCCTTGACAAGAGAGGGAGACGCAGTAGACCCTCAGAGGTGGAGCCTTGTGACCCAGGAAGAGGACCCCTGTTCTGGCTCTCCCCAGTGTCGTCAGGGTGTGCTGACACGGGCCTGCGAGGCCCTCCTGCCCTCACGGGGAGCTTGGCTCTAGCGAGCCAGTCAGCGCTCTTCCTCCAGTGACGTGAGCTCACCTCGTGCCTCAGTGTCCCTTTCTGGTAGTTTTCACAGTGTTTTAAACATTCTCATCGTAAGGCTCGCTTATTGGACACAGTCTCTGTTGCCATCCCATTGCTAGGCTCAGGGACCAGAACATTCCTGGCCTCGAGGGGCGTGAGGGGCAACACCAGGCAGAGACAGGGCCCTGGTGGCACTTGGGATCCAAAGATGGGCAGTCTCAGAAGGCCGATGGAGGGTCACAGGGTCGGGATCGCGCTCACAGCGGTGAGCCTGGGCTTGTGGTCTGCCCTCTGAGTGTTCGTTACTCCTTCTCCTGTCCATTCTTACCAGATGGCAGCAGCGGTAGCTTCAGTTCCTGTTTCCTTGACCAGAAAGCAGCCCCTCAGGGTGGGAATATAGGGGTGCTCACTGAGGTGGGGCCTCGGTTCGGACAGGCTGGCCTCAGGCACTGCAGCAAGCACCTGTCAGAGTGACCCAGGGGCCCCAGGACTGGCTGGCTCCGCAGCGGTCCCTCAGTACACCTGGTGGATGATCTGTGATGACAGTTACGTGAGGGTGCCACGGTACACCGGAGGCACAGTGAGCACACGTGTGCGGAGAGGGCGGCGACAGAGCCCGAGGTGATGCCAGGGCACCTTAGAAATGAGCACACACTCCAGTGGAGGGACCTAGGGAGCGCTGGCAGCACTGGGCTGAGATGCGGCTGCAAACCCAAAGGTCAGAGGTTCACACACCTCAGCTGCGCTGTGGGAGAAAGGTGAAGCCTTCACTTTGTGTAAATATCCCAGCATTCTTCTCACCATCCTACTGTCTCTTCCCCCCCCCCCCCATTGTTACCTTGAAAGGAAGGAAGAATAGGGAGGTAATGGGGCCGAGAGAGAAACCTCAGCATCCAGGGAGGGCAGGAGAGGACCCCGGCATCAGGGAAGGTGGGAGAAGACCCCAGCATTGGGTAGGGGGTGGGAGAGGACCCTGGCATGGGGGGCAAGAACATTGGCATCCGGAGGGGCAGGAGAGGACCTCGGCATCAGATAGGGCATGGGAGAGGACCCTGGCATCGGGAAGAATGGGAGAGGACCCCGATGGGGGCGCAAGAGAGGACTCTGGCTTTGGGGAGGGTGGGAGAGGACCCCAACATGGGGGGGACAGGAAAGGACCTGGCATTGGGGAGGTTGGGAGGGACCCCAGCATCGGGGAGAGCAGGAGAGGACCCTGGCATCGGGGGTGGGGGCGAGAGAGGACCTCGGCATTGGGGTCGAGGGTAGGAGAGAACCCTGGCATCGGGGGTGCAGGAGAGGATCCCGGCATCAGCATGGGGGGTGGGGCAGGAGAGGACCTCCACCTCAGGGGAGTGGGGATCTGTGCTGCTGTGTTCAGGGTGCCGTTGATGTGGCTCTTCTGGGTTTAGCTAGCGAACGCCTCCAGCAGGCTGTGACCTCACCACTCATTTCAGGGGACAGTCTGTGCCCTCCCCCCCACCGACAGGCTGCACCCTTGCTGTCTGCACCTCTTGTTTTAGGGGACAATCTCTTCCCCCCAGGTCCCCCTTCCCCAGGTTCTGCTTTAGATTCCTGTGTAGCTTTCCCCTTCAGTAACTGTATTTTCATTTTGATTTCTAGAAAAGACAGAAGAAGATTGCTTAGGAAGATGGGAAGCCCTTGAATGTAAGTACATCTGCTCGAGAGAGCACTGCGTGATCAGGAGGAAGTGACGCTGTTGACATGTCAAACACATGCCCGTGTTGCCATGGCAACCTCGCCTGCGTTTGTGCCGCTGTGTGACTCACCCCTGAACCTGGCTCCTCTGTGAAATGCAGCAAAGCTTAAGCACTTGGTCCCAAATGTCAGAGCCAGCATTACTGGCTCTTGTTTCTGAGACCATTCTGTCCCCTTCCTACTAACAGGGGTTCTGTCTAACCTCCTCCCCCATCCTTGACAAGCACTGGGAATTTGGAGTGTGGGCAAGATTTCAGTGTGATAAAATTCTCTAGGATGACGGCCTCGTACCACCTGACATCTTTTTCTAAGCAGACCCGTTGGACCTTGGTTTTCCCAGCCTGTGTCAGAAAGTACACACAGCTGCCCGGACCTCAGGGCGGGTCCTGTCGAGGTCGCTGAGCACCCAGCGCCTTGCTGTGGTTCCTCTTCTGACGAACCCTTGGGGGTCACTGTACGCTCTGTCCACTTCTCAGCCATGAGTTATGTGCACCCAGTAATGGAGCTTGATTTCTTCCAAGCAGCGGATTGGGTGGTGGATGCCCAGCGCCACAGCTGCTCTGCGGCAGGCTGGCTGCGGGCACTGCTGATCTGGCCCACGCGGTCTCTGGAGTCCACTGTATCCTGTGAGGTTTTTCTCCTGCTTAGTTAGAGGAAGAAGAGCTCGAGAAGTAGAAGGAACATTGGAAAACAGGGCCAAGTGTGGTCATTGAAGGACTGCACACTCCCCCCAAAGGCCCCACAGGAGACTGGACTCTGCTCTCAGTGACCCTGGGGGCTTGACGCTGTCCCGTCCCCCCCAAGAACAGTCCAGGCCAGGACCTGTGATAACATGCTTTACTGCCAGCTATTGGGTTGGGCTTCAGACCCACCCAGCAGCCCCATGGGAGAGGGGCCCTCTGCTCTGTGGGTTAACAGCCTCAGGGACCCTGTGTGTCAGGCAGCCCTGCCACGTGGAGGCTGGCGCTGACCCCGCTCCGCTGCACGCACCCAGCAGCAGTGACACCTCCTGTGAGAATGACCTTGGAAAAATAGCCCCGGTGGAGTAATGTATTCCACACTGCGCTGCGAATTAGAAGGGTGTTGGTTTCATCCCACTGACCACCCGAGGGGTGGAGGATGATGTCAAGGCTTACAGACTCTGAGGGTCGCCATGAATTTGCTGGAAGGCACTGGCTGCGAGGAACTGTTGACCTGCTGGGCCTGCCTCCACTGTCCACTAGCGATAGGAACCTTTGGTAATCGCAGTCAGGTCCTGGTCTGGGACAGCTGGTGCCCATAGGCCAGAGGTGTGTCCTGGCATGAGGTGGCCAAGTAAGGTGGGACCATGGGGCTGGGGGCAACCTTGGTGTGGGGGCTGGCCCCAAGGGGAACAGCCTGGGAAGTTGCAAACACTCTCCATTCCCATTTCTGGTTTTCGCCTAGACTTGTCTGGGCCGGCGTTCGTGTGCAGTGACCACTGACTGCTGCCTTCACGGTGTGTGGAGACTGCTCGTGAGAGATGGTGGAACGTGCATCAGAAGCTTCCGGAAACATGACGCCTGCTGTCAGGCCCAGCATACGTCCAGGCTTCTCGTGGAGAGCTAACCGAGTGTGGGTGATACGGCCGACCTTCCAAGATCCCTTGTCTGAATGGGAATTAAAGTGCCGTCTGAGCAGCAGCCAACGTACCGCCCCGTGTCTGTGGAGTGATTTGGTGGAGGTGGGCGAGTGGGAGAAGCTCACTAGGAAAAGGTTCCTCGGACCAGACCTGCTGCCAGGTTGAGAAAGGACGACTCCCCGTGGCCGCTGTCCGGAGAGGGTCTCCCCAGCCTGGAACAGCTGACTCCTGCGGTCACTGTGTGCTCAGCGTGACACAGGCACGCGAGATTAAGGGCTGCCCAGTGTCAGCATTACTGTAGAACAAAGATAAGAAGGTAAAGGGGCCAGGAGACGAGATGGCTGAAAACAGAATCACCAAAATGGAGAAAATGAGAAGAGTGTAGCTGGCATTTAATAAACCGGACAGGAATCTAGACTGTTGTGTGGACTCCCACCAAAAATGCACTGTCATTAACAAAGCCAACAAAAAAACACATTGCATCAGAAGTTAGGCCGTAAATCCAAGTCAGCATCCCTGATCCTGTTTATAGATTTCTGATAATGCAAAAAAATTTGACAGCAAAAGTGGGATTTGTCTTGGGGATTTTTTTCTTCTCCAGTGGTTTTTATAAATTTAGCTTTAAAATGAATTTGGCAGCAAAACTTGACTCCAAGTGACAAGAAGTTCACATACTGCCTGTACCCCTTAGGGTGACCGGGCGCACTTTCTGCAGAGGTGGTCTGTCAGTTACAAGGTTGGCTTTCTGTGCCGGTGGACACAGCCGCACCCCACGGCCAGCGGGTGGATTCTGGCCCCTGTGTCACTGGAGACTCCCATCTGCTGCCTGGGGGCGGGGGCACGAGGCTGCCACCTTTGTGGAAGCGTCTTTCTTTGTGGAGCAGCTGGTGGGTTCAGACTGCCAACCTTTGGTTACCACTGAGCTAACGCCCACCTGCTCTTGTCTAGTCCTTGAGCCTCTAGGAGCCCAGTGACACAGTGATGAAGCGACAGGCGATTAACTCGCAGGTTGGTGGTTCCAATTCCCCACTTGCTCCCACAGGGATGGCCACGGAGGCCGTGTCTGCTGTGTCTGCTGCGTCTGTCAGAGCCTGCTCTCCAGAAGCAGGTTCCAGCAGCAGGTTTGGCCATGGGTTCTCACGCTACTGCCTTGCTCACCTTCAGAACGCAGGCAAGTAAATATAACTAGGTTGATTTAATAAATAGGCTTCGGGTGCCTCTCCCGTCCGGTAATTGCAGATGCTATTAGTATGGTTTTTAAAAAGTACAAACTGCAGAACACAGACCAGTTCAGTGGTTTGTGCACTTGCAGTCCAGTGATGCTCTTCTGCAGGTTGTAGCCCGTAGTCCCCCCTCCTCGCGCCCTCCCTGCCTCCTTTTGTGGCATTTCACTGTCTCTGTTCATGTTTAACCGTTCACCTCACTGTGGTCTGTGTGATGCCTGAGACTCAGTTCTGGGTTCCTTAGCATTTATCTACCCTTGACCTCTGTGTAACAAGGGAGTTCTTTAAAGTGTCGCGCTCATGCTCACCTGACTTTGGTCAGACGACTTTGGTGGGGGTGTGTCCTGAAGCCTGTTGTTTAAAGATTGTTTCAGAGCTTTGTTCCCCGGCCTGGCCTCCGGGGCCACGTCTGGCTCCTGGAGTGTTTACCTTCTGGCAATGCTGGCTGCTCCTCCTACTTGAAGCCCTCAACCTGCAGTGTTCCACTTCCTCCCACCGTCAATGCTGCACTTCACTGCAGTCTTCTGGAACCTTCTCCCTCAGACCTGCGTGTGAGCGTGGGCTTTCTGGCCAGCTGCTGACTGTCTTCTCAGCTCCCTCTTCTGGCGCTACTCTAATTGCTGAAGGGGTATCAAGGATTAAATTGTCCCCCAGAACAAGTGCTGCAAAATCTAACCTGCTTACCTGTGTGTCTGACCCATTTGGTGCTAGGTTTTCTTCGTTATCTTAACAAGGCCATGTTGTAAGCAGTCACCTCCAATATCTAAACCTTAGGGATTGTCATTGAGACTAAGCCAGAAAGGCTAGAAGAGATGGGGACAGAGAAACACCAGGTCACATGAAGATGACGGGAAGAAGCCACGCTGCACAACCTTCCTCCGGGTCACAGAGTGTCCCCAAGAGCTGGTACCCAAGTGTGGACTGCTGGGTCCTAAAGAAAATACCCATTCATTAAAGCCACCCACCTGCGGTGTCCCTGTCACTGCAGCACCAGAGACCTGAGACACACCCACCTGTGGTGTCCCTCCCTGAGCCTGTCCTGTCTCCCTGAAGGGAGACCTGCCAGGAGCCTCTTCACAGGAGGACAGTGTCCTGCACCCTGTGCATTGCAGTAACCATGCTGGTCACATACTAGTTATAGTAAAAGCAGATACATTTTATAAAGTAAAAAAAAAATCACCCAAAAGCAAGTGAGATTAGTTTCTGTAGACTTGTTAGGTGCTATCAAGCCCATAGCAGGCCTTTGAGCCCATCCTGTCTGAAACATGCCACGGTGGTGTCTTTGAGTGCTCAGCAGTCCGAATGGGTCTTCTTACGGATTCTGGGAAAGTCAGCCTCAGGGACCTCTCCAGATTACCGAAAAGCAGTGATGACAGTCTGAGGATTGGAGCATCAGATCCAGGCTGTGCGTAGCTGTCACATCTCCTGACAGCTGAGTCGAGAGCAGCAGTGCCCACCTCGGAGATGGCTCCGGCCACAGTCCAGGCTCCAGGTCAGGCCTCTGGAAGGGTCCCCAGGGAGAGTGACAGGACCACTTCAAAGCCTGTTCCAAATGGCCAGTCACTGTGTACAGTACCTATGAGATGCCTGCCTGTTCTTTAATTCATGTTCATGTGGCATCTGTCCACTCTCTGTGTATTTGACCTGTTGAGAAGATGCACAGCGAAATCAGTTCCGTTTCCACATGGACACTCATCATGCCACTCCTCTCAGCTCCTCTTCCGCGCTGTTGCTCCTCGTTCAAGGACTCGCCGCCCCTCAGGTTCCTAAGGCATTCCTCATCAAGTAAACTTGTTTGCTTTTAAAACGACTTTGGGCAATATTTTTCGTTTTAAGTTTTAATAATTAATGAGTTCAAGGTTTCACCCAGCTCCAGTGTGGATTCCATGAGACTGGAATTCTGTCCTGCAGTTTCTCCCTTTTGATCAGGCATCTCCTACAAATCTTTGACCACAGTAGCAGCAGGTGCCCATCGGGTCTGGTCCCGGACAAGGGCAGTTCTTCATCTGAGCTTTTACACTAGTCACAGTTGAAGTGGTCTGCAGGCATCTGTGGTGATGCACTCTGATGTCACAGTGCAGGGTAAGGAGAGACCTAGAGGGGGAATTACGAAGCCTCATCTGTAAGATTTCATGTGTAGTTTCTGTTCCTTATTCTCCCCCCTAAAAATAAATGGAAGTTTTAAAAATCCCAGTACAGACAGTACCAGCTGGATCTGAGATTGTCACCGCAACTCGCGCTTCGCTGCATGTTGATTCTCAGCCCCTCCCCAGCTTCCAGAACCTTCGAAGGTGGGTTTCTTACAGTGCCTTTACTGGATTCTCAAACTTTTTAGCTGCCAGGCCCAAAGTGTATCTACAGTAACCCTAGCCCACACCCCCATCCACTTCTGGAAGGCGTTCTCACTGGACTCCAGGACAGGACTGCTCACAGGGTTCCAGATGTACCCTTCAGCCCAAACTGCCACCTTTGTCCCAAGGAGTGTCTGGTGCCTTCAAACCTCTGACCTTTCAGCTGGCCGTCCAACATTTAACCCACCGTGCCACCAGGTTTTTTAAAGTACCTCCTGGCGCCTTTCAGACTGGTGACTCAGTGACCCTCCACCCAGTCCTGAGGCTGTAAATCAGGAGGGAGGACAGTGGGCAGATGACCCCTGGCCTGCAGCCCAGCACTGAGCCCTCAGCCCCACCGCCCCTCTCTCAATCCTCCCTTGTGTTTGGGTTCTGGAAACATAACTGCGACTCAGAAATAATTGGAGTTCTGTTGAGGATCAACTGGTGGGGAAGTTAGAAGTTTATTCCAGAAACATAGGGAGGTCCTGCGGGCCACGTGCAAATGCACACCCGCTGGTCCTGGGCCGGGGCTTCTCACCCTGCTTGAATCCAGGGGTCTTCTGAGAAGTGAAGTGGAAGGCACCGAATGGGGGTGGCGGCCAACTGAGGGCTGCCTGGGCGCGTGGCCTTGACCACTGTGCTCCAAGTGCTTTGCTGGTGAATCGTTAACCATGATCCTGCCTTTGACGGCCCCTCGGGTGGGGGGAGGGACGCAGGGCGGCGGGAGGCCCCGGTCCTCGGTGGGGGGCGCAGGGCCCGGACCTCCAAGCTCGGAGTCCCCGCTCAGGTTGGTGGGGGGTGACGGGACGCCCCTTCCCCGCGGCCTCAGCTGCGAGAGGAGGGGCCGGGCCGAGCGCCGCCCTCATCATCACATGGCCGGAGAGTCACAAAAACAAGCGCTTCGGCCGCGCTCGCCACCACGCAAGCCCCCTCCCCATGGAGGAGAGCTTCCTGCGGTCCTTCGGGGGGCTCAGCCTCGGGCCCCGGCAGCAGCCTCGGCCGCCACCCCCGCGCGGGACACCCCTGCGTCGCCACAGCTTCCGAAAGCACCTCTACCTCCTGCGAGGCCTCCCGGGCTCGGGGAAGACCACGCTGGCCAGGTAACCGCCACAGCCCCTGCTCGCCCGGCCCCGCCACCCGTCCGACCCCGGCCCCGGGCACCCAGCCTGGAGCGCGCGCCCCTGTGCCCTGCACGTCCGGCCCGGGCACCCAGCTTGGAGTGCGCGCCCCTGTCCGCCTGCCCGGTTCCGGCTGCAGTCCCCGCGCCCCTGCCTCAATGTGGTCCCCGATCGGGGCGGAGGACAGAGCGCGCGCCCTTGTCCCGCCGCGTTTTCCCGGGAAGGCTCTTGGCTATGCGCCTTGGACAAGCCCAGGTGGCACCAGCCTCTTCCCAGCCAGGCTGCAGGAGCGCGTCCTCGCCGCCCGGGCCGGGCTGGGAAAGTCGGCAAGCGCGCACACAGCTGCGTCAACAGGCGTTTTATCCGAAGTGCGTGAAAGAAGATGGAGAGGGGGCGCGAGTGGCCAGGGTGGAGGGCCATGGGGACCTGCTCTATCCAGCTTGGGGGGAAGACCCACACAGGTGCACGGGGAGAGGGCAGCGCCGACCGTCCTGGACCCAGCCTGTCCTGGACGCCCCAACTTGGTTACTTGAGAGTTGCGTCAGCTGCGCCTCTCGCACATCATGGTCTTCCATCGGGGTGGGCCTTACCGCACGTCCTGTGTACTCGCCTTTTGCTCCTAGCCTTGGCTAAGACCTGCCCTGACCTGCCCGCCCGCTGGCCCACCCAGTGCCTCCTTCCCACGGTCAGGGCTGCATGTACGTGGCACATGGATTTATCCTTCTGGGAGTTTCTTGAAGGCAGGGACTGTAGCCGGCCCCTTGTCCTCAAACAGCTGTACCTCTCCCAGGACAGAGGGGCTGGACGTTGAACCATGAAGCTGCTATGAAAGGGCAGAACCCAGAAACTAGCCCCCTGCTCACATGGTCAGGCACCGCTGGAAAGGCCTAGGCGGCCAGTCCGAAGGCAAGCGGACTGCGCATCTGCCTGGCACGCAAACGGCTAGTGGATTTGAACCACTACTCTTTAAATTAGCAGCGCAGCCCGTGAAGCTCTAGAGCAAGCGCGTGCAGAATAAGGTGGTGCAGGGAGGGCAGAGGAGTGGGAGCTGGGCCTCTGGAACATGGCAGCCGGTCAAGTCTTTTTTGTCAGGGTCCTCGGTTTGTAGAGAGGAAGCCTTAGCAAGACTGTTGACATCTGCTCCCAGATGAAGGCTGGGTGGAGGCTTCACAGGGCTGTGCACCCCTGTTCCCTGGCCGGTGCTCCTGGAAACCAAGAAGCTGTGGTTCACTCTGTCAACTGGACCTAGCAAGCACCTTCTGAATGCCCAGTCCGCTTTGGTTTCACTTTGCTTGTCAAAGGAGGAAGCTGGACAGCGAGGTCCGGAAGCCTGCCCTGCACCACCGGGGTGAGGGGAGAAGCAGGAAGCCTGGCAGGGGTGGGTCCAACTGGGTACCACGTGGCCTTGAGGCCCAGATAGCTGCGCTGTCCCACTGGGGTGGGGGGAGAGGCAGGGAGCTTGGGGGCCGGGGTGGGGGTGTGGCTGGCCCCACTTTGGTACCTGGTGGGCTTAAGGTGTGCCTCCAACTGGGCATCTTGCCGTTCTCATCTGCAGAGCAAACGCCATGGCGTGGGTGGCCTTTAAGGATTCTTCTAGAACTCCATGCTGCATCTCTGGGATTCTCCTTCCTAGCTGATTGACAGAGGACCCTTCTGGAGACAGGAGTGTGTTTACAGACATTTCTCCAAGGTGGTCAGGGAGGGCAGCCAGTGTCCTTGGAGGCGAGACTTCACTCACATACTATGGTCATGTTATCAGAAGGGACCAGTCCCTTGGCATGGGTATCATGCTTGGAAAAGTGGAAGTCCCTCAAGGAGATGGACTAAAGCAGAGGCTCAGGGCCCTCACGCCCGGGGAACCCCCTTCACTTCACTGAGAGCTGTGCCGGGCTGGGGGTGTTAAATTCACCCTTAATCCTCTTAGACATTTTTGCTTTACCAGGTCGTGGTGGGCAGTTATATCATCTGTATTTGTTGTCTTCTGGGAGCTGGAATGTCTGCTCCGTGGACTGCAGGTTATACTGTTGAGCACAGGTCACGTGAAAGTGGAAGAACCTTTCCATTTGAGAACGCCGTGGGGAGGTTTGTCGTTACTGACGTTGTGGTTGAGTTGGCTTTAGGCCCGTAGCAGCTGCAGGCTGGACAGAAGGCAGTGCTGCTGGGTCGTGCTCCGGCCTCCACCGTGGGCTGGACTCCTCTGTTGGGTCACCGTGTCTGTCCAGCGTGTTGAGTGGCTTCCTCTCTTTGACCCGCCACCTCCCGCAGCATGCTGCCTTTCTCCAGGCACTGGATGTGCCCAAAGAGTGAAACCGGGTTTCAGCATCCTTGCCTCTCAAGGGCACCCTGGTTGCACCTGGGCCAAGACTTACCTGTTTGTTCCCTTGGCAGTCCACGGCATGGTGCCTTCTCCACCAGCACAGTTCAGAGGCATTGCGTTCTCTTGATCTTCCTTCCTTTCACGTGCAGGCAGCAAATGGCAAACCACTCTTTGGACCAGGCACTGGAGGCTGTGCTATGGCCTGAATACTGTGAGTGAATGATCTAATGTCAAAAGGGGCACAAGTTTACCGTGACCCAGCCTTGATGCAGGTGCTCTGAGGAGGGGACCGAGGCCCCGGCACCCCTGTGGGGTGGGGTGAGTTCATGCACGGGACCCAGGACCACAGGCCTCTAACACCAAGCACCATGACTTGATGCTGCTCTCAGCAGCCACGCAGGACAGAGCAAGTGCTGGTCAGTCGCCAAGCCTGTAACCCCTGTGGGGTCAGGCCACCTTGTCCCCACCCACCAGGATGGCCGGCCGCTCATCCTGGCTATGCCCCCTCCTCGGGGGAGCAGTGGGCAGCAGTAGAGCCCTAAGGAATCGTTTCTAGAAAAATACATGTCCAGAAACAGTAAACTGTAGGGTCGTTTATGTGTTTCCAGCCCGGTCTGAACATCTCTGATTTCTTCTGTGTTGTTTTTCCTGGTTTACTTTAAGAAGCGTGTATTTTTTTAAATTTTTATTTGTTTTTTGTATTTTTTTAATCAATAAAAGAAATATATTGTTTTGAATTTTAGGACATCATCCTTTCAAATTTGAGTTTGTTCTTAGTTTTCTCATTTGTATTTCTCATGTGATTAAAGAACTAATAAAATATATTTTAAATTTGTCTGTATTTTGTCGGCCCATCGACGCCAGGTTTCTGTACTTGAATAGTCGCAGTGACTGGATATGGATAGCTCCTACTCAAATGCTTCAGTGATACTTTTTGAAACAGGTGTTGCTTTGTCTGGTTTAGAGGATGTTCCGTGCAGCCCTGTGGCACTTCCTGCCCACGGTAGTTCTGTGGAACAGGGTGTTGGGATCTGGGCCTTGTGTGGACACGCTCTCTGAGCCGACCTCCTCCCTAAGCGTCAAGCCTTGTGGGGACCCACAGTGGACTGAGAGAGGTCCCCAGTTGTGTTTGCTCCTCAGTCCTCCTCAGCAGCAGTTTCTCCCTATCTGACCTCGCATTGCCCGTCTCCTGGGTTCTGGGCCTTTAGCAACTCGGAGCACGTTGTCTTCCTTTCTGAGGATGGCTGAGCCTGTAGTGTGAGGCTGGCCTCTGGGGCCTGGCTCCAGCTCGCTCTCTGGCTGCCCCCTTCCTGGGTTTCATGTCCAACTCCACTCTTCTGTGGCTCCTGCAGCCGCTGTCCTGTAAACACTGCCACTGAGTGCCTCCCACCCAGGGGCCCTCTGGGGTCCAGGGCTGTGCAGAGCAATGCGAGGACCCCGCCTGCCCTTGGATTCCAGCTTCTGACAGGCACAGCATTTTATTGCTGTTCTCACTAGCGCTCAGGCTGCCGCCTCGGGGAGCCAGGATGCACCCACTTAATGGTCTCTCGTGTGTGTGTGTGTGTGTGTGTGTACCGTCAAAGCAGATCTGACTGGTACAGGAGGAGGTCGCCCCTGCTTCTCCAGCAGAGCATCTGGTGGATTCAAACCGTTTACCTCTGGATTGCAGTGCAGCTTGTTGCCTCTAGGCCACCAGAGTTCGCCAGCACTATCCACACACACACACAGCATCCACTTCCAGACTGTATCCTTACACCAGGACAACTGTCACAGATTCCAGAAAGTGTGTGCACACACTCAGACACACAAACTTACTGTGTCCTGACGACAGCTCTCCCAGGAAGTGCACACACATGTACACACACCCCACACCCACTTCCAGACTGTGTCGTGACTCAGGGACAGGAGTCCCAGGTCCCAGGGAAACAGGTGAGCCAGGCCATGTAAGCTTTTCAAATACGGGAGCTGTGACACCAGATGACCCACGGGGAAGTTGTTTGTTCCCTTTGCCTCGGTTTCCATGTAAGATCACTGACGATTATAACTTCATGGGACCACGGAAATACCTTGGTCCGAGGACGCTGTGTGGCACATGGCCCCATCATAGTCTGGAAAGAACCGTGACCTTTCAGCTGCCTGACCACGATTCCATTTATCTCTTGTACTTTGGATGTTTGAACAGTCTTCTAAGCAGTATAGCACTGGTCTGTCCATTTGCTGAACAGAGGTAACTCATGAGTTCTGTTGGCCTAGTGTGCATAAAGTTATGCTACAAAGCCAAAGGTGGGTGATTTTAATTTGCAGCCCTCAGGCCTGGTTTTAACTGTTTTTGGTTAAATATTCTAAGTGGTGTAGCACTGGTCTGTCCACTGTACAGAGGTAACTTGTGGTTGCTGTGATGTTGAACACTGTGACACTGATGTGTCAAATTTGATAATGGTTACCCATGGTGGACAGAGTTTGGTGGAGCTCCTGATTAAAACAAGCTTGGAGGGCGAGCTCTGGTGGCCTAATGGCAAGAAGGTGTACTGCAATCCCAGAGGTGCACGGTTCAAATCCACCAGATGCTCTGCTGGAGAAGGAGGAACAATCTCCTCCTGTACCAGTCAGATCTGATTTGATGGTACACACACCCAAAAATAATAAAATTTTTTTAAAAAAAAAC